TAATACCAGTAGGCCATCACCAGCACTCACCTCCAGTCATCTAATGACACCCCTATATCCACGGAAGATAATTGCCAGTGCCTCTGTCCTCACTTTTTCTGAGAATCCTCAGATACCTGAACCTGTTGAGTTGGCAACTTTAAGTTCAGCCAACTTTTCTAATTTCTAGCCTTATCAAATTTTAGCTCATCCTGTATCTCAACTGCTTCCCTTTTCACTATGGCATTGGCAGCATCTTTGTCCTTGGTAAACATGGTTACAAAGTTCTTACTTAACACATCATTAGGATTAGAATAGTTAAATGGTTGTTTTTGACTGGTGTGGACACGATGGGCAGAAAGATCTTTCTCTGTGCCATAGATCTCTATGACTCCATCAAACTATCTAGGATTTGAAATGAGTGTGGTGAAGGTAAATTCAATCATGGTTTCAAAAGAAAATTAGATAAGCACCAGAAGAGAAAAAAGTTGCAGACTCATGAGCTATGTGCAACTAGCTCAGTTGCTGTTGCAAGGAATCAGGACAGGCAAGATGGATCGAATGACCCTTTCTGTACAATAATTATTAAAGGACATGGGGCAAAAGTGGGATGTGAAGTTAGGTCGCTGATCAGCAATGAGCTTGAATGTTCTACTCTCACATATATGGCCTCTCACCATAATAACTTGGAACTACATCATCATTCCTTTACTATCAAATCCTACAACTCTCTTCTGGTTGGCACGGAAAGCAAACCCCCATTAGATTGGCAGCAAAGACAAGAAGGCAGCTCATCCTAAATCATTTTGTTTAATTAAGGATTGACAACAACTGTTAGCTTTACCAGTGACACATACATGCTATGAAAGAATACTTTTAAAATGGTGGAATAGACTCTATAACCTACTGTACTACTGTTCTTATGTTCTGGGTTAAGTATATCTGCCTATCACAGACTTTACCATTAATTAATTTACCCAATCTTTGCTTTTTCTTTTGCTGTGTCTCACAATTTGTTAAAACTCCAAGTTGTTGCAACCTGACAAAAGATCATCTAACTGAAATATTATTGCTGTTTCTTCTTCCACAGGGTCACAGGATTGGTTCCTGGTATGAGGAGAGATGTGGTGATTTCAAGCAAGAAGTATAGAATAGCAAAGTTTATTCAGGCATATGCAGATAGAGACTTGAACACAGAAAATTCTCTTGTAAATTTCAGTTACAGTAGATATTTATACAGCAAGTCCAGGAGGCAGTGTCTCCCAGTTTGGTCACATTTTGTGTCTCTTCCTTTAATTATGCTTGTATCCCTTTTAAATTGCATTTATTCCATACATGTAGATTACACATCAGAGAGAGAGGAAAACAATTAAACATTATGAACTCTAGTTGCTTGAAGAGAAAAATGAATTTAACATCACGAACCCACCACGATCCCTTGACTTCCAAATCAATGGGTTGTCTGTGGTTGACAGCCTATGTAAATTGCACTATTGTAGGTAAATCACCACAAGTTACCATTAATTCGGCTACTTATTAAGAAATTTCACAGACAATCAAGTACTGAAACATTAATTTACACTTTATTGCACGTAGTAACCAAAATAAGACCCCTCAAGTAAGCAAGTTAAGCCTCACAATCCAACTTGGCTATTATCCAACTTTCATCCTTCAGGTCTATGAGGTGAAATTTTGATGATTCTTAAAGTCTTTTCATCCAAAATATTGATTATCCTCCTTGAGTCCTTGAGACTGGAGCTTGCTTCCTTATCAGAGGTAACTTCTTTGTTCCTTGTTACATTTGGCCTTAACTGTCTGTTCAAGGATACAGCTTTCCTGTGTTTAAATTCTTAAATTCCTCAGCAGGGCAATCCTTGTCCTTTGTGGCAATAAAGAATCCAGTTTATCAAGCAGCTGTCAAAGCAGTTTTGTCTATGTAATCTCAATTCCTTCCTTTCCAAGACATAGCTAATTGCTTTGAATTCCCGTATAAGTTTGCCCTTGTCTTTAACAGTTTGTTCCAGACAGAATGATTGCTGATTCTTCTGAGTTTTACGGTTTATCTTTGTTGATTCATTCAATCCATAAATAGTTATGAAAGCTCTTAAGTCTTCAATATCAGAGGTCCTATACTTGCGGATCCTTCGGACCTCCTGAAGAGGAAGTGGTGTCCCTTCCGTGTAATAAAAAAACTGAAGCCTTAAAAAAAGGCTTGTCCCACAAGTCGTTGTAAACTGTGTATTTTAAAATTTGCGAAGCAGTCACTCTGTGCATCCTGGAAGGAAGTGAAATGTATTTGGAGAAGAGAGAGTGAAGAGAAGCATGCCCTGGCAAGCTAAAGGATCATCTTTGTGAATACTTTGGACAGTGGCTATTAAACTGCCTTTCCTCACTATAACACCATTTTTTTTTGTATATATGTGTGTAAGGATGTGTTTTATTAGGGGTTTATAATTTTAACTAGTAGAAGTATATGTTGACAGTTCATATTGTTTAACTGGAGTAGAATCTATGTATTTGTAATAAATAGCAATTTTTGTTAAGTACAGAACCTGGTTTGTGTTTTCTGTTAACCTGGCTCAACAAAGACAGGTAAAGAGGGAAATTTGCACACTTTGATAAAACCTTTAACTTTGGCTCTGGGAAAAGCAGGGCTTGATTTCCAGCACACTATCCCAGTGAGGCATGACACTGGAAAATCAAAAATATAGTGCACAGTCTCAAGATAAGGGACAATGCATTTAGGATTGACTCAGAAGTCACATGATACCAGGTTATAGTCCAACAGGTTTATTTGAAATCAGAAGCTTTCACAGCGCTGCTCCTTCTTCAGGTGAAGTGATTTAGGATTGGGCTGAGGAGAAATTTCTGTACTCAACAGAGTTTGTCAATTTTTGGAATTCTCTAACCCAGACAGTTGTAATGATCTTCATTGAATATATTTAAAGCTGAATTGGGCAGATTTTTGGTCACCCTGGAAAACAATCCATATAGGAAGCTGTTTGGAAAATGAAGTTGACACAGATCAGGAATGTTGAATAATAACGAGGTTTCAATAGCCTGTAGGTCTACTTCTGCTCCTCTTTCTTTGGTCTTAGATGTGTCTGAATATCTGAGTATTTTCAGCATTTTCAGTTTTTATTCTCAGAAAGCAATACCATTCTTATATGGCTGAAAGTCTCACATGCCAATGTGTTAAGATTCCTTAAGAAAGATACAGAGGATTATAAGATACTATGGATACTGGGAAAGTATCCAATGCAGGTCAGATAATTTTCACCACATGAAAATGGGAAGAGGAACCATCCAATACTGTTGTGCATCTCATTGAAGCTACAGAGTTGGTAGAGATTTGGAAGGAGCTACGAACATACAAATTAATAGCAGAAGCAGGCCTTTTGACCCTGCCAACTTGTTCTTCCATTCAGTAAGATCATAGTTGATCTGATTGTGTTTCAAACTCCAAATTTCCATCTTCCCTTGAAACCCTTGAGTAACAAGAATCTAACTATCTCCCCCGCAGAAATATTGAAAGACCCCACCTTCCCTTTCTGAGGCAGAGAGTTCCGAATTCATACAATTCAATGAGAGAAAATAATCTACTCATCTCTGTCCTAAAAGGGTGACCCCTCATTTTTAAACAATGATCCCGAGTTCTGGACTCACCAAGGACAAATATCCTTTTAGTGATCAACCTCTTGATATTGAGTAATGAGTGAAGGGCGTGGGAGGTGAAATTCTAAAGGAAAGGAATTATAGAATTATATACAGGAGTGGCCCTTTGGGCTATCGAGTCTATAGCATCAAAAGCACAGTAAATCTACACCAGTCCCACTTTCCCGCACTCGCCCCATTGCCTTGACTGTTAATGACACTTCAAGTATTCAAAGAAAGTTGGGACACAAAAGAATGTTTTGGGTAAAAATCACCGTGTGATCAGATGTGGAATAGAATAGAAAATTATTGTCACGTGTATTTTTACATGAAAAATACAGTGAGAAGTTTTATAAGTTGCCCACCATGACGTCTACATCAATGACAGTCATCCATAATAACAAAAAAAAGGTAAAATTAAGACAAAGTTCATCACAGTTCAGTTAACGGCTCCTGGGTACGGGGAAAGCCGATTTAGGAACGGCGGAATACCCTGAAGATGCAGCCGGGATGAGACCGCCACGCCAGGCCGTTGGATACTAGGCTGGAAGCCTCCGCTGGAAACCGCCATGCCGGGCTGAGGCCACCACTCCTGAACGAGGCTGCCTACCAGGCAGCTGGAACGCCTGGACGCCGAAGACGAAGAAGACCTCCACACAGGGACTAGAGACCCCACGCCAAGACAAGACCACCACACCGGGATTGACTCACAAACAAGTATACAGTCTTTTGGATTAAATCTACATCATGATCTGTATGAGTATGTTGCGGGGATGCGGGAGAGTCTTGCTGAAAACTCACGTAATCATTGAGAGGATAAAATGGAATCGAGAGTAGATTTTTTTTTAAATTAACCTGTTCAGGAAGGTTATAGCTCAGAGACAAGGAAGGAGATAGTAGGAACTGCAGATGCTGGCGAATCTGAAGAAAGGATCTGAAGAAGGGTCTAGGGCCGAAACGTCAGCTTTCCAGCTCCTCTGATGCTGCTTGGCCTGTTGTGTTCATCCAGCTCTACACCTTGTCATCTCAGAGGCAAGGAAGCCGGGCTTAAAATGATACAAACAGATATAGACATTTCTAATGATAACAAGGTGTAGAGCTGGACGAACACAGCAGACCGAACAGGAAAGCTAACATTTCGGGTCTGGACCCATCTTCAGAAATGGGCATTCTACAACCACGTCCTGGATATTTCTAATGAATGGAAGCGATTGTATCTTTCTGACAATGGCCCGGATGTGGGCGTGGCCAGGTTTGGCGCATGCGGAATGGGTGAGTTGAGCGCGGGCTTGGTGAGAGACACGTGCTGGTTTTGGGGGGGAAGGGGAGGAGGTGGGTTTAACGGTAAATTTTCCGCGCGGCGGATGCTTTCTGACTGTTAAACTTCGCTTGGATGGCCTGTTTTGGTTACCCGATACTTTTATCGACGGTAAAGGAGGAGAGATTGAAGTTGGGGACCAAAAACAACAAAATCCTCACTTGTTTCCGTTAAACTGTCGGGCAGCTGAGAAATCCCGATTCCATTGGTTCGGGGGTTCAAGCCAAACCGACATCAGCCGGAAAGACGGGTGCAAATTGTCAGCTTAAGGTTAGCCTTTTTTATTGTTTGTTTAGATTTTTCGAGAGTCACTTTGCCGTGAGGGGTTATTATTCTCTGGCATACAGTTAGTGCGTAGGGAACAGCCTGAATTTGGAGCTTAGCTTTTGCCCCATGTCGTACCTTTTATATGCAGATTAAAATTCATGTGAACACCAGAGTCGCGGCAATTAAGCTTTTTGAAAGTTATAATCATACAGTACATGTAAGGTAACAAGCAGAGAAACTTGCTGTAATTGGAGCACATTCCACAAAAGATTCAACTCCCTTTGAAATTTTGTTGATTGATGCTATAGGTTTTTTGTGTGATAGGGGGTATGACTGTATCCTATGTCAGTCCTTTTACCCCAGCCTCCTTATATTTCCACTTTGCCAATCATAGCACGTCTCAGTCCCTTTATGAGAAGTTCCTGGTTGCAGTGTGTAAAATTTATTTTCAATTTTAGCATCAACTGAAGATATTTATGAATGTTGGTGTCATACCACATGGATCTCTATGATGTTAAGTAGCCATAACGTATGCTCAGAAACTTCAGCCTGAAGCAATGGAAACAGTGTGAAGGCTGCTTCAACTTGTGCGTAAAGTGCAGAAATCCCTGATACATCTGAAGCTTGTGTTTGATCACAGTTCATGCTAACTGGTGGCACATTATGTGGTGGTTATTTGGGCTTTGGTTGTGTGCTGTTGTGTTCAGTGCCCTAGATGACTATCTTCAAACTCCAGTACAAGCAATTCTAACTGCTTGACTAGTCAAATGGGAGGATTGATAAATGGCACTAGGGCTGAGACAGCAGTGTAAATGATAATATTCCTCATGTCCTGGCCATTATTTCATTTAATCAGTTATGAAAGTATAGATCATGTGGTCATTTTTACATTGTTGGGAGTTTACTCTGTATATATTGGCTGTCATGATTCGTCTGTTACAATAGGAACTTAAAGCACTTGGTTGTAAACCGCTTTGAAGTGTCTGGTGATAGTGGTAGATGTTCTATAAATGCAAAATTATACTTTCAACATGTTTTTAAACTTTATAAAAATTGGAAAGGTTTGTGATTTCACGCTTATAAATTTTCAGTATCAGTAATGTTGTTTGGCAGTGATTAACTTACCAGTTCACTAAACAGTTAATTTAACTAAAATTTACCTGAATTAATGTTTTGAGGCAAGTTTAGTCTGTGTCTATCCTATGTGTGCAGGGGCTTCTTTCCAATCAGTATATTTAGTAATGAGGCATACATCGAATTGCTGCTTTTATGTTGTGGTGTAGTGGAACCCAAAAGCTGAATGGTCCACCTTACCCTTGGTTGCTATGCCATGACAAAATGTTTTGTCTCCTAATCATTCTATAATAGAAGAATAGAAACTGACTATGCCATGCAACAGTGTAGAAGTCAAATTCATTAACAATTAAATGTTCATGAATATAGCAGTTTCACTTGTTCAAACAATTTCTCTTTTTTTAAATACTAAAATTCTAGGAGTGGAAGTTTAGGGAATGGTGGTGAAGGAGGGGCTGGGAATTGAGGACTAAAGGGAAGTGGGGGTGTTGAGGCTAGGGAATAAGGGGACTGGAGAAGGGATGAAAAGGGTTAAGGGTGGGGAGGAAATTTAAAGGGTAGGGAGGGAATCAGGACTGCAGACACTTGTTATAATATAACTGTACAAACATTACTGTTTTATGCATTTAGGAAGAAAAAAACTGTTATACTTCCAATTAGGTTAATATTGAGTACTCTGTCATCTGCATGTTCAGAAATTGGAAAGGAGATGAATGGATGCCAAAAAATTGTACTTACCAGGTGGTGAACAGGGAATTCTATTTAGAACAGGTTACAGAAATGTTAAGATGGAAAATACTTGAAATACTCAACATATTTGCCAGTGTTTGTAGAGAGGGACAGTTAACAGATAAAAGGTCAATGACTTTTTATCTTAATTTTAAGTTAATAATGCAGGGTATCTCTATGATTTAAGAATCTACGCAAGATCCTTATGGATAGACTTAAGAAACTTGAAGAAAAATTCTGTTGTTGTGCTTTCTAAGTTTAACAAACTGCAGTCCTTCCCGTTTCCCAAGGGAGAACTGCTCTTAATTGAGTCGTTTCCAGTACGACAGGGTAATAATCCAGTATGATACTGGATAATTTTCACTATCCTAAGCCTTGGATAAAGGTAATATAGTTGAAGTACATGGAGATTATCCAGAAAATGCGCACTTACTCCTCACCTGGCAGCCTGAAGGCAAATAACGTTGAACAATGCTGTACATTTGCAGATTGTAAGATGGCACTGCCAGGCATATTCATTATTGAGAGTGCATTGCAACCTTGAGACAATTATAAACATCAACGTCAAAAAGCAGCTGAAATATATTTTGGTATTTGTGTACAATGTGCTTTCTGCTAAAAGTGCTGTGGTTAAAACAATGTTAATGTAACTAGTGTTCACATGTTGCACCTTTCAACTAGGGAACTGAAACAGGTTAAAAGATCATAACTGAAGAAAGGACACCAGATGGTGTAATAAGAAATACAGGGTTTTGTAAGAAAATAATAAAGCAATGGTTTGTGTGTTGAACTAAATGAAGGAAAAATCCAGTTATTGAGAATAATGTATGACAGGCATCTTAAATAGTTTAGTTAGGATTTTTTGAACTCATGTGGAAGCAAACATTAGTCATCACTAGATAAAGATGTGCAGAGGTGATAAGTCTTTCACAGAAATTTCTGAATCCTCCTTGAACACAAAAACAGTTACAGGTTAGTCAGCGTAATGCCTCTGTTAAAGAAGGGACAGCAGGTCAAACTCTATAATAACAGACCAGGAAACCCAATGTCAGTCACAAGTCAATAATTGAAAATAACCCAGAAATTATGGGTTGGTGAAGGTAACCTGCTTGCGTCATATTGTGATTTTACTGACTGGCCAGATCATGAGCTTGCATTATCTGTGGTGCATGAGTGTTGAGAAGGTTGCATGAATCTTACTACAATTTGATTAAGATGCAGACAATACTGAGGAAATACCTTTGCTCAAAAGCACAAAGTGAAATCAATATGTATGGATAGATTTAATGTCAGAAAGCAGTGGTTTATTGGGCCCAACAGGTAAAACTGTTGGCCATGTATTAAGCAAAAAATAAGATGCAACAAAGCAATTCAATAACTGGCAGAGATCAATCCTTGTTTCAATAAAACCCAAACAAATTGATTTGCAGAACTAGTGTGATGGATTTGTTGTAGAGCTGGATGAACACAGCAGGCCAAGCAGCATCATAGGAGCAGGAAGGCTGACGGTTCGGGCCTAGACCCTTCCTCGGAAGGGGGTTCTGAAATAAATAGGGAGAGAGGGGGAGGCGGATAGAAGATGGATAGAGGAGAAGATAGGTGGAGAGGAAACAGACAGGTCAAAGAGGCGGGGATGGAGCCAGTAAAGGTGAGTGTAGGTGGGGAGTTAGGGAGGGGACAGGTCAGTCCAGGGAGGACGGACAGGATGAGGTTAGTAGGTAGGAGATGGGGGTGCGGCTTGAGGTGGGAGGAGGGGATAGGTGGGAGGAAGAACAGGTTAGGGAGGCGGGGACGAGCTGGGCTGGTTTTGGGATTTCACAAGCTTCAAAATCTCCCCTCCCCCTACCG